CCATTTCTTCTTCTCTTGAAGCTCTTTAATTACATCATTAATGGCGATTATCAGACTCTAGCAAGGTTTTTTTTTAGCAACAATTCTCTCCTTTTTTTTTTTTTTATCAACGCAACAATTCTCTCCTTTTTTTTTTTTTTATCAACGCAACAATTCTCTCCTTATGTTTATCCATTTGGCAGTTGAAATCGAAATCAGAATTTCAGATTTATAGGTGGGGAGTATTTTTTTTTTTTTGTCCGGATCATGGTTCTGATTTGTTTTGCTTTAGCTTCGATTTGCAGGAGTTTCGTGGATCTTAGATTTGGATGGGATTATGCTGGTTGGATTTTCTGGGAAGGGAGTGAGATTTTTGGAATCATAAGGATTAACTTTGGATATAGATCTGGGGATTGATACGGATCTGATTTAGGTGGATTGATGGAAGGGAAGGTGGCTAGACCAAGAGGTAGACCAAGGAAACGCCCGAGAGAAGAGGATCGTAATGGTGTGACTAACCGAGGGAAGAGACCCGTTTTCGAGATGAAACCGGTAGTACCTAGATCCCTTCTTGGTCGTTATGTGCTGAAAGATTTTGATGAAAGTAGAGTTTTTCTTGGGAAGATAGTTTCCTACAGTACTGGGTTGTATAGAGTTGAATATGAGGATGGTGATTTTGAGGATTTGGAAAGTCGTTATCTTCGCCGGTTAATTATTGGGGATAGTTACTTTGACGATGAGTTACGAACTAGAAGAGTTAAATTAGATGAACTTATACTGAAGATGGACGAAGAGAAGAAAACTGATTACCAGGAGAACAAAAGGGTTGAGCTGCAAAATCAAGTTAATGGAGTTGAGGTGCCCACATGTAATAGTCCAAGTTTTGTGGCAGAAGTTGAAGGTGGTTATTCATCTTGTGGTTTACCTGAGTGTGAAGATAACATAGATCCAGATATCGAAAGTATGTCATCTCTTGTTCCAGTTCCACCTTTGGATTTGCCTCCTTCATCAGGAACAATTGGTATCCCTGAGGAGGCTGTGATACATCTATTATCTGTGTATGGGTTCTTAAGATCATTCAGTGTTCAGTTATATATCTGCCCATTTGGATTGGATGATTTTGTGGGAGCTTTGAATTTCTTAGGACCAAATTCTTTGCTGGATGCCATTCATGTTGCCTTGATGCGGGCACTGAAGGGTCATCTTGAGAGACTCTCCTCAGATGGGTCTGAAGTAGCTTCAAAATGCTTGAGGTAAGTGCACACAACTTTTGTTGTTTACAGGTTTCAACAGATGTCTTTGTAAACTTATATTTTTTTTTTTTKTTTKTAACTTTCTGTGTTGCTTTCTGGAGGTGTTTTAAGTTAACTTTCCCATATCCTTAGTAATTTCGGTGCAGTAATCATTCTGTCAAACAGCAAAATTAGTTTGTTGGGTATCTGAACTTCAAGGAAGCAGAATTACTGACATTATTTTCCAAACTAATTAGTTTTTTTTTTTTTTCTTATGTGTGCATGCACTCTACAAACCTTTTGTGGTTGTAGTGGGACTGGAAAATAAGCCTCTTATTCATAGTTTAGGTGGAGCTTGTTTTAGGATCTCCCATATTGTAGTGGATAACAATTCGGAGATTTTTGTTTTGCATTGCCATCTGCAGGTGCATTGATTGGAGCTTGCTCGATGCGCTAACTTGGCCTGTTTATTTGGTTCAGTACTTTGCTGCCATGGGACATGCAAGTGGGCCTCAGTCGAGAGGTTTTTGTGAATTTGTTGTGGAGAAAGACTATTATTCCTTACCTGTAGTGATGAAGTTGAAGATCCTGCAAATTCTGTGTGATGATGTCTTTGATGTAGCAGATGTAAGAGCTGAAATCGATACTCGAGAAGAATCCGAAGTTGGAGTTGATCCTGATGGAGTTACTGCTGATCTTCCTGAAAATGGACCTAGAAGGGTCCATCCCAGATTTGCTAAAACCTCAGCTTGCAAGGAGAAAGAGCTTAGTGCAGTGAACCATGGGATAAGCTCAATGAACGAGTTAAAATTTTTGAGTTCAAGATGTACTGATGGTGGTTCTAATGGAGTTAGCTCAGATCTGGATGGAAACAGTGATGAATGTAGGCTCTGTGGCATGGATGGAACGCTGTTGTGCTGTGATGGATGCCCTTTAGCATATCATTCGAGATGCATTGGTGTGGTCAAAATGTATATACCAGACGGCCCCTGGTACTGTCCAGAATGCACTATCAACAAAATGGGGCCAACCATTGCTCATAAAACGTCACTCAGGGGAGCAGTGTATTTTGGAGTGGATCCACATGGGCGACTCTTCTTGGGTACATGCAATCACTTACTGGTGTATGTTTTCAACGCCTTATTTCAGATTCTTTTTCTTTCAAACTTATGGAAATAGAGCTGATCTTTCATTTACCTCCATATTCATCCAGATTCTTGTGGAAAGTTGTTTTTGTAGTTTATAATTTATAGTTTTATAATTGTCAGCAACTATTAACTCATCAGCTTGTCTAGAGTTTGCTTAAAGTTGGGAAACCCATATTGCTTGGATAATTTTGTTATGGATGCTGATGGATAGTTCCTTATATCGCAGGCTTGAAATTTCTGTCCATGCGGATGCAGATATCAAGTACTACAATGTCGCCGACATTCCAAAAGTTGTACTGGTGCTTTTGTCTGCAACAAACCACAGACTGGAATATCTGTATATATGCAAAGCGATTTCACAATACTGGAATCTGCCTGGAGGTGTGATCTCTTATCTGCAAGCAATGGAGACCGATTTAGATCACATACAAAAAGAAGAGGGCAGCGAGGTGTCAAACATGATTAAGCCTGATAGTGCAAGTAGCTCCAGTAGAAATAATATTCAAATTGCCTTTGGCCTCTACGCATCTGCTTCAGGTTATGCTGGCAGTCCTGTTTTAGGAAGATCAAGTGGAATGCACGAGAGGAATTTGGTTGCTAGCATTACATACAAGGGTTTATCATTTAAACCTCATGCGTATATTAATCATTACTCAAATGGAGAATTGGCTGCATTCGCTGCTACTACTTTGGCTGTCCTATTGTCAGAGGAAACCCATGAACCTGATGTACACAAGTTTAGTAATGCCAAGAAAGCTGCATCAAGTAACATCTTGCTACAGGTGAAAGCATTTTCGTTAGTAGCCTCAAGTTTCTTCTGGCCAAGTCCTGATAAGAAGGAAATTACCAGGGAAAGGTGTGGTTGGTGTCATTCTTGCAAACTCACATCAGCAAGTAGGAGAGGATGCATGTTAAATGCAGCTGTAACAGGGGCCACCAAAAGTGCTATGAAGATATACAGTGGCCTTTTTCCTCTAAAGAATGGGGAGGGAGTACTTTCTAGTATTGCAGCTTATATCCTATATCTCGAGGAAAGCTTACGGGGTCTCATAGCGGGGCCATTTCTCAGTGAGAGTCTTAGGAAACGGTGGCGTAAGAAGTTAGAGGAAGCCTCAACATGCAAAGCGTTGAAAGCCCTTCTACTTGAAGTAAGTAACCCTTTCTTCTTTCTAAAACGTTTCTGTTTCTATCCACTTTCTTTTGCTATTGAAATATAATTGATACTTTTTCTTGTCATTGGCACTGTTCAGATTTGATATTGTCAACAATATAGTGATATGTTAGCAGTCTTTGGTTTGTCATTATATTTTTGTCATGTTTTCATTGGCATGATATGATTCATTTTGCTTGTTTGCAGCTTGAGGAAAATATTTGCAGTATTGCTCTGTCAAGTGATTGGCTTAAACTAATGGAGGATTGGTTGATAGAACATTCTCTTTTTCAAAGCGCTCCAGTTTCTGCTGAGGCCACTCAGAAACGTAGACCTGGTAAGAGGAGGCAGAGGAACCAGGCTGAAGTTACGGCCGAAGGTCCTGATGATGATAGCTTTACTTGGTGGCGAGGGGGGAAGTTATCAAAAGTTATACTCCTGAAGGCAGTCTTGTTGAAGCCAAAGATAAGAAAAGCTGCTTGGCAAGGTAACATCGTTTTGTTATGGTTTTTTGTGCTTGTGGTTTTAACAATTCTTACGTAAACAGGATGGTGCTAATTTGCTTGTTTATCATTAGGTGGTCTGAAAAAGTTTCCTGAATTTAACTATGGTGATGGTTCTTACATTCCTAAAAGAAGCAGGCGGTCTATTTGGAAAGCCGCAGTTGAAAGTAGCAAAAACATTTCTCAGCTTGCTCTTCAGGTTTGTCTTCTATCATCAATGGTTTTTCAAAATTGTGTTTTTATATGTTTGTTTGTTGTTCCCCTAAAATTCAACTGAACCTGGTCCAGGTTAGATACCTGGATACGAATATAAGATGGAGTGAACTTGTACGCCCAGAGCAAAACGTGCAAGGTCCAGAGACAGCGGCCAGTGTCTTTAGGAACGCTAGTATTTGTGACAAGAAGATTATAGATAACAAGGTTAGATATGGAGTTGCCTTTGGAAATCAAAAGCATCTTCCGTCTCGTGTCATGAAGAATGTCATTGAAGTCGAGAAAACCGAAGATGGAAACGAAAAGTATTGGTTTCAT